AATATTTATATCAAATTTTCCAAAGATGAATTAACTTATTTAAGTCAATTCAAATATTTTTATATATAACTTAAATTTGTTCGTTTTTATTATTTTATTAATATATGCTAAGTATATTATAAGATTGACGCTGCCATCTGCGAGTCTGGTGGGATAATTTATGTGAGCAACAGCAGGTAAAGAGGGTTCAAAAAATATGATAGTATTTAACAAAAATATCTTTTATATCGAGGCAGATTTATAAGCAATAAAAACGATAAATAACTAGAAATTAATTGAGACAAAATTACAACATTATTTTAAGTATCTATACTTACAAATATGTATATAATTTGTCTATGCACAACATTGAACAATGCAGAAAAATTTATTTTCTTTTTGCAGAATTATATATTACGTAATACATCTTTTTTCACATATACATATATTACACAATATTTTAATACTACGCAGTTAACAATGCCGCAGTTTTATATTATGTTTTTGTTAAGTATGCTTAATAAGTTTTCGTTAAGAAAAATTTGTTGTTTCTCATTATAAAGAAATGTATATCACATTTCTGAATATAAAATTTATTTTAATTAATAAACAGTAAAATTATTTTAAAAGAAAAAAGTATATATATGTACATTTAACAAAGCAGAAAATATTTCTTTGATAACAAAAGTTCTTTGATAATTTGATCTGCAATGTAATATATATGAACTGATTTATACTTAAGGCACTGTTACTCGATACCAATTTCTGAATTGATACATAGTTCTTGTGGCAAACAAAAGTAATAATTCTTAATTTGGCAATTCTTTGTGATTAAATTAGTATTTAATGTTATTAGAAGGTTAAGACAAATAAAGATATATCACATTCATTCTTGAAAAATGTCTTGTGCGGTCATACAGTCGCGAATTCCACTTGTCGTTGCGATGGATTGTGATATAAGCCAGCCATAGCTTCCTGCAACGCTCGTAGACACGCGATATGCGCCCTAAATCCACCCGCTCTTTCAACTTGACATTCGTTACGTATATGTGAAACATATCCACGAGCTTGAAGCTCTCGCCAGTTAGGAGGTGATGGGCCTTCTATTTCTTGCCAAATGGGCGTGTAAGAATAGAGAGGCCCCTCCTCTATCTTTGGCACTGATAGATAGTTTTGATTTCCCTGATTACCGAATTTAATTCCTGTACTGAACTGGGTTACCTTAACGGTGGAAGGTAAGGTAGCTTTTGCTTCCTTTTTCTGTGTCTGTACCGCAGAAGCAAAAGATTCAACAATATTTTTGGCATTTGCATCGGAGAAAGTTAGCTCATCAATCAGAGCTTCTTTCTCACGAATCTTTCTTCTTTTTATCTCGACCTCTTCTTTTGCAAGTTCTATCCTTCTTTCTTCTTCCTTCTGCTTTTCTAATTCTATTATTTCTTCTAATTCATATTCACTTTTACCAAGTTTTGACTTACTTTTTGCTATTTGTTCTTTGTTGTCTTTTTTATATTGTTCTATTTTTTTGTTGGTTTCCATTACATCAATGTTATTTGCCAAGTTATATATTATAGTCTCAATTTCTTCTAAATAATCATTATATTCCCTTAATGTAGAAAAGTCTTCTTCCTTTTTATTAAAATCTCGAAGAATACGTTTCCTTATATTCACTTCTTTTTCAACCATAGAATCTTCAAACATTTGAACTCGAAAGTTTGTTCTTCTTAATGGAATTTTGCATTCTGGACAAGACCCAGAACCTAAACAATTTAATTACAAGCATTATTAAAATAATACCGTTTCTATTAAATTGAATATAATAAATTAATCATGAAAATAGATCAAACCTTTCAGAAAGAGCAAGTCTACACAGCTCTCGCATAACGCATGGCCACAAACGTTCACCATCATTTTTAATGATGGATTTCGATATTTGGTGGTCTTGCATCGTGGACACGCTTGATCGTCCATCTGCAGCGATAAAATTAAATTAAAAATAAATTGAATACTACAAGGCATTTATCTCTCTTACTCGGAATAGGTTATACACAAATCCGATAAATTTTAACTTACATTGTGTGACGAGCCGTATTATTCCTTGTACAAAATTTTAAATTAATATAACTGCTTGGTACAATCAACTGCTGCTCACAAACTATCTAATATTACATTCTAATATCTAAAAAATGTTATATATAATCGTGCACACAATCGTACGATAAACAACATAATCTACGACCTGAGTTTCTCGAAACATGCTTCGATATCTCGAATCTACTATCGAATCTACTATCGAATCAGCTATCGATAGGAAAATATTTTGAATGTGATTTCGACTTTTCGAAAGTGATAAATTACATCGTGCAAACATCTATTTTCATTCCCTTGCTGTATTTTTCTATGTTTGTTTATTTTGCTTTTTTCAAA